TGGGCATATCTGTCCATGTTTTCACATTGACCTGCAGAAGTGAGCTGGTCTGTGTAGGTGGGCAGATCTACTTCTGAGAATACACTTGTAAGTGTATGTGTGTGAGAAAATTGTTATGTGTGTACATCTTTGCCAGTGGGGCAATGTTTATCTTTGTGTGTGGCTGTACTTGCATATTGCTAAAGTAAGTTACTGTTTGTGGTGTATGTGTGTCAGAAAGAAACAGAAACAGAGTGAACTTAACATCTGTGCATGGGTGAGGGTTCATATGTGAATGGGCATGTTTGTACATGTGCCGGGATCTGTATACCTGTGTTGGTGAGTAGGCGTGACCTATGGGAGAGGGTTTGGATTTGTCGCCATGTAAGTATATCCGTAAGGGGATATTCTGTGTGTACATAGAGAGTGGTAAGGTTTGAGTATGTGTGAGCATGCTGGCATGCATAAGGTGACTTTGAATCTAAGTGACAGTGTGTGACAAAATGGGTCAATATACACATTCCACTGTGTACTCACTTGTACTGTGAGACTTTGATTAGGTGAGATTATTTGAATCAGATGTGTTGGCTCAATGGATATATACGTGTCTGTGTGTAAGTGACAGTGTATGTGTGGAGGTTTGCTCATATGTATCTATTTGTCAGTGTTTAAGAGTTCGTCAGGGTGTGTGTGTGTGTGTGTGTGTGTGTGTGTTAGGAGAAGTATAAAGGTAGTTTTGTGGGCCATTACATGTGTGTGAGAGTGGGAACCTCAGAGTTTGTGCATTATGAAAACATTTCAGCCTTCTCAAAACCAATGTGCTTCTTGAGCATATTTATAATGACTCTTTATTATCTGGAAATGGAGTTTTAATTTCTCTGCACATGTAGTTTTAAAGGACAATCTAAGCCAGATTGGTGGCTCACACCTGTAATCCCAGAATAGGAGACTGAGGCAGGAGGATTGCTGAGGGTTTGAGGCAAGCCTGGGTTACATAGTGAGTCCTGACTAGCCTGAACCGTATAGCAAGACCCTGTCTCAGAAAGAAAGAAAGAAAGAAAGAAAGAAAGAAAGAAAGAAAGAAAGAAAGAAAGAAAGAAAGAAAGAAAGAAAGAAAGAAAGGAGAGAATCCATATAGTATTTCATATAATATCCATGTTATATTAACTATGATATACATCAGAAAAAAGAAGTGATTTATAAGAAAATAACTTACATTTAAATATGTAGATGCTTGACTGTGGCACTGTCCATAAGATTTAAGAAAGTAATTAGAAGTTTATAAGGCCTTATAATAAATATGGAATTTATCAGAAGGGGGAAATCAGACACAGGAAGTGCAGGAAAATGACAGACAGAGGCTTTGGGAAAAGATTTTACATCATAGTGAATGACTCCATGGACAGTGCACTGAAAACCAAAGTACAGTTTCCTTTTGACCTACATGACAGCCACATTCCTGAATGATGGAGTAGAAAGACTGGTGTTTATCTGTGAAACAGAGTTTGATTTTGGATTCAGTTGATTATAAGCTCCAAGTTCCAGTGGGTATGGGCCATTTGTTAGTGATTTTGGGCTGCCCCACATGTTACTTGGTGGTCAGCGTCTTGCTCTGGAAATGTAAACGTTAGTACATCCTACACCCCAACCTTGCAG